CAACTTTTATAATACACGCTATAAATCACACCGATTCATAACCTCAATAACTTTGCTCTCTACGAGTGCAAAACACACACTAGCTCGAAACAGAATTGTAAATTACCCAAAACTCACTGTGATAATACAAAAGAATTGTATTCCACAGTAGGCACAATTTGTGGTATGTTCCAGAACTTTTTGTTTATGGCTTCCTTTATTCCACATCTTTTGGGGTTTGGTGCCCCATATTCCATTGTTTTTGAGCAACACATATTCATATCTTAAAAATACTAAATCTGAACAAATCTTTATATCAGTGTATGAATGTCTTGCGTCGTTGTGAACCCCGACTACTTTTTTATCTCACCACGCTACCTATGTAAGTCCAAACAAATTTATATTGATAGTGATTGTCATGTGACTTCCATATTCACAATAATTTTAATATAACATTTTTAGTTCTCTATAAAACAGCCTTTACCATATGTAAAAGTTTGTTCACTATCCTCAATATTCAGAGTAAAAACATATGTATGCAAAACAATGGGGAAAAGAAATCTCCAAGAGTAGATGAATTTACATATTTTGTAATAGATTTACTTTATTGAACAGAAATATGCAAATTAGAATTTTATTTGCAGTGGCTATAACTTAAAATATCAGGGTATTATTAAATGTTTCACTGGGTAACCCAACAAAATTCTACATGTAACAATGTCACAATATGTACCAATATTAGTAATTTCAAATAATTTCTAGCTGCCTTGAAGGCCATAGTGCTAGTAGCTGAACAGAAAGCCAGTCAAGGTTGCTATGATTGATATACATCTAGCAGGTAATACAGCCTATTATTTAAAATGACTATAAATAGAATAATAAACAGCAAAGTAAGTGAACATCTCCACTATAATAGACCTCACCTTCTGTATCAACACAACTTCCTTCTAGGATGAAGATAAATCAAGGTATAAAATGGGCAAGATATGTGGTGATATCAGCAGCCCGTCTCCATCAAGGTAAAAATATGAACATAAATGATGCTCGGCTTTTCTCAATTTTTAATGACCCCATATGATCACCCCACCTCCAGAAGCCTACATAATTGAAATAAAACTGAAAGGGTTCACAGACTGTCACATCTTTACCATCTGTACAAAATAATGTGTAACCGGACTCTGGACCACATACCATTTTCAGTCATCTAGCATCCTTTACATCATTAATGTCATTTCCATTGGTTTCCAGATGCTCATTTCCAAAAGTTCTTTCTGCATGATGTAGACATTCCAAGGACAACAGTCATGAAACCTGTAATTTTATAGAGTAATGGCAGGTCTACTGGACCACATAAGAATGGTCTGTCCCCATTTTATATATATATATATATTACGTACACACATTTCTGTATTAGGCAACAGGTTTGTTTTTTATTAGAACCATGCAGAATAGTCTTGACATATGTTAACCTTTGATTTCATAGCCAACTCCATTTATGTCTTCATAGAAGCTTCTGTCAATCAGAAACCTTGCCTCTTTTAGTGTGTTTTGAATCTGTTGCACAACCCATCATTATTACACCTGATTCCTCCAATTTTCATAGAGTAGTTTTATAGATGAAGGTCAAATGACACACAGAGTAACTGGTCAAATGCTTCCTAATCTGTATTCTGTCCAAGTTTGAATGCCCTGAGCTTATGAATGTAAGTCACGTTTAAGGAAAGCAATGACTCTTGATGGCAGTCTGGAGGTTTTTGTTTATGGTCAATACCATGCTGTCATTTGTTACACTATCGATACTACAGAAGATACAAAATGTAAACTGTAAACCATGCTGTCATTTGTTACACTATTGATACAACAGAAGATGTAAACTGTAAACCATGCTGTCATTTGTTACACTATCGATACAACAGAAGATGTGAACTGTAAACCATGCTGTCATTTGTTACACTATCGATACAACAGAAGATACAAAATGTAAAGTGTCAACCATGCTGTCATTTGTTACACTATCGATACTACAGAAGATATGTAAACTGTAAACCATGCTGTCATTTGTTACACTATCGATACAACAGAAGATGTAAACTGTAAACCATGCTGTCATTTGTTACACTATCTATATTACAGAAGATTTAAACCATGTTGTCATTTGTTACACTATCAATACTACAGAAGATATGTAAACTGTAAACCATGCTGTCATTTGTTACACTATCGATACAACTAAAGATATGTAAACTGTAAACCATGCTGTCGTTTGTTACACTATCGATACAACAGAAGATGTAAACTGTAAACCATGCTGTCATTTGTTACACTATCGATACTACAGAAGATATGTAAACTGTAAACCATGCTGTCATTTGTTACACTATCGATACTACAGAAGATATGTAAACTGTAAACCATGCTGTCATTTGTTACACTATCGATACAACAGAAGATATGTAAACTGTAAACCATGCTGTCATTTGTTACACTATCAATACTACAGAAGATATGTAAACTGTAAACCATGCTGTCATTTGTTACACTTTCAATACTACAGAAGATACAAAATGTAAACTGTTAAATGAGGGTTAAAAACAGCTAGTGCAAGTTTAACAAAACACAATTTATTCACACAAAACAAATCTTACAAAACTTTAATACTGAAGGAATGTTGTAGTAAGTGATTCTCAAAAAACTACTTTTTATTAAAACAATGTTCCATTATTATCATAAAAATAGAGACTTAGAATAGCTTGTGACTGTTAATGAAAACTATGATTTTATTTTCATTAATTTTAAGAGTTTGATTCCAAGACCAATGTCATTTAGTACTTACACATGCTTAGAATAAATTTTGTTTCTACAAATGTTTTGAAAATTCAAGCTCAGTACAAAAACTTAGTACAACAAATTTACATCACCTGAGAAATGCAGTGCATGAATGACAAGAAACTTGTACCAACCGAGCTCTGAAAGTTAAATCTTAAAAGATCACTTCCAAGTTTAATTAAAATGACTGGACGAGCTAAGTTGGAAGTGACAAACTAAATTCAGTTCATGTTGTAAAAGATGGGTAAAGGAGAGAACAATAAATTGGTATCAACAGTTATCAATACAACACTCAGACCTATACTGAACAAGTGAAACCACAGTAGATTAAGATCAGTTGATTTGTTACACTCTTTCAAAATATCACAAATACTCCCGTACTATTAAAGTACAGTTTCAAAATTATGCAAAGAATTTTCTAAACTTTCACAATTAAGCCACTATAATGATATTTTTATAAAACTGGTAACATGCAATTATTTTACACATTGAAAACAAACTATTAATATATACCTAGAACCATTTCAGTATGTTTCAAGATCACGTGCTGAAACTTGAAGCTCAACCATGAGTGACATATTTCATTAGATTTACTTGTGAAAGTCTAGTATCACTTCAAGACTCAGTCATTAATTTCAGCACTATAATCTTTAAGAGTCAATGGAAGGTACTAGTGTTTTCTTTAAACAGAATTCAGTGTTGAAAAGGGTCTTTATACAATTACTCATCACTGTTTATTAATATTTCTTTTTATAGTAGAAAGGTTTATCAAAACAATTTCACAACAGCCACTGTCAACTCTCGGGAAGAATTTTATTTTGTTGGTATTCACAAGAGTGATGTATCCAGTCAACACAATTATGAATAATAATACTACAGCCTTATAATACAGTGGAGCCTCACTATAATGTGTACCACCATAGTGCAAGTTTCAGTATAACATGAATCTCTCGTGGACCCCAAAATTCCAGGCCAAGCTAAAACTTAACTAACCAATGTGAATCAAGTGTTTAATCAATATATCTTATGTTGAAGTTTAATAGGATATTGCTATAACATGGCCCCATGATTGGATCCTGATTATCTTGTTATAGCAAGACTCCAATGTAGTAGCTTAATAAAACTGTAAAACTCTATAAACTGTAATACCTACATTGTAATTCTACATCTTACAGGATACGTAGTCAGTGTTGCCAAAGATATTTTATAGTCTGGAAGTCTTTCTATATTAATTGTACAAATCATCATCAGGTCCTGAAAAGCATGGGTAGTTTTCATGTAATGGTTTATCAACTACATGCTGCAAACTGTTTTGAAAATTAATTTATTCATCATTAAACTTTGGTACAAGATGTTGTGAAAACAAATTTAATATCTATATAATAAGATTCAGTGTATGTATGTGTGTCATGTACCTCCTCCTATATCACTTGTTGCACCAACTTCTAAGTGGTACCAAAGGAATTGTCTTGGTCAAGAGGTTTGCACGAAGGTAAAATATTTCACCACCCCCCTCTTGGGATTTCCCCAAAACCTCTTCTCCTGAACTGTTGAATTCATCAACTTCTAAGTGGTGCCAAATAATTCATTTTGGTCCTGTGGTTTGCACAAATATAAAACTTTTCACCCAACTCGTTATTAAACACCTATGTAAATAAGTAGGCCTAATAATTACCATTCATAACTTGCTTAAGAATATTAAATTTGCATTATAGTGACAATTAAATTGAATAAAGTGCAAAAAACAGTAGTTCAAGCATTAAATTTGCATTATAGCAGCCCTGTAAATGTGGGCTATAGGCCCACTGGTTAGCTAGTATTAATTAAAAACAGGTTTGTAAAAGGTAATTGGCCAACAATGTTCCCATTACATGATTTAGTAAAATCTAACACCATTTCAGTATTTTTTTCATGTACTGTCCATGTACAAACAATTCAATTTTAATTAAGCTGAATAGGAATGCAATGTTTGAGTATCTACTTTACAAATAGTTACACCTAAGACTACAGAGTTTTCACATTAGTAATAACAATCGATACTATGCACATCATCAGCGTGTTCAATACGATGAAAATATTTTAGTCAGAATTAACTAAACATGCATCTTTGTTGTAATAAGACAGCACACATACAATAGTCCACTTCTTGCAATGTAAAGACAAGCAAACAGTAGCACTACTGTTTCAAGCAGCTCCACCAAACAAACTCATTATCAGGGTAGTAATCTATTACACAATTACTCCTTAACTATTAACTGAATACTAACAACATTTGGAACATTATTACTCTTACATGTTCAATATTTCATGGTTACACACATTTTTACACTTCATAATCGATACAAGTAAATATGATGCATCTTGCTTCTGAGTAACACCGCCTGTCTTGTACACGTTTTTCCATACATCATCCATGAATTAGGAATATTTGAAATGTCAGTGCTGAAATTTACAACTCATTACAAGTAATTCTACAGTTATTAAAGCTTTACACATTTCAAAAGTACTTTGAAAATTATTTTAAAAATTTCAACACTCATTTATCTGTCTACTTGTAAGAAACTACACACCTATTTAACAACATTCGTTTTGGGCCCACTGCTGGTCCTATTATTCTTAACAGGAAATACATACATTTGAATTCAGGTCCTGTTGTTATTTTTCATGGTACTGACCATGCAATCAGCTCACAAATAACCTTGTGTGACCCTGTTGGTGCTATGAAATTGATTTTAATTGGTCTAAACTAGTAATGTTACACGTGCAGTAATACGATATTTTTAACTATACTGTCATATGTACACATCAAATATTAGTATCTGTTTTAAAGTTCAAATTACAAAGTTGATATTAACAAGAATAGTTTTAGTAAATTCGATCATGATTGTATTTGATGAACTGCATGACACAATGTATTTGATGAACTGCATGACACATTGTATTTGATGAACTGCATGACACATTGTATTTGAACTACTTTCTGCATGACATTGTATTTGATGGACCACATGACACATTGTATTTGATGAACTACATGACACATTGTATTTGATGAACTGCATGACACATTGTATTTGATGAACTGCATGACACATTGTATTTGATGAACTGCATGACACATTGTATTTGATGAACTGCATGACACATTGTATTTGATGAATTACTTTCTGCATGACACAGGGCTGCCATCATAGTTCAGTGGCACACTGAACAAAACTCAGTTTTGTTGATAGAAATGTAGTACAATTCAGTCAATACAAGTTAACTTTTATTGTCCAATTTTTGTAAACAAAGAATCAAGGTACAGCAGTAGCCCAGTAACAGCCCCTATGGATTTTTGGGCAGGAGCAGTTTACAGTCCTTGTGCATCTTTAAATGTGACAGACAGATAAATGAAACATTCTTTAACAAATACCTTTCTCATACGTCAAATATTTATCAAAGGAATGTTTTCTGATGTGCATACATGCACAAAAAAGTACCAACATTCAGTTTCTAACCACCATACACTGTAGTAAACTCATATTTCCAATGTCTATAAAACGATTTCACATGTTAACAAAACCATCTGATGATCCAGAGCACACTGTATTATATTTACATGTACATATTAAAGTTCATCTACATAAAAAGTATTGAAATCCTTAAATTAACTGACTATATATTTAATGGTAGTTTAAACAAGTTTTATGCATTCACGAGGTCATCAGATCATTCATACTTACAAATACCAAAGTTTTAAATTCTAATTATACACACAGGGCACTTCATACACTGAATCAGACCTGCTGATAAAACATCCATAACACTTACACTGTATTATAATCCTACACCACCATAACATACAATCATGCTCATAGATGCTATGGTAACTGGCACAAACACAAATGTTACTGTATGCAAACATATTCATCACTGACAGTGATAGTAAACTAACAAGTAATTATAAGCATAATGAAAATTATTTTATGTATAGAGGACACACATTTCAACAAAACACTAATCTATCACTGAAATAAGAAAAACCAATATTCTGTTGAAATGTACTATTGCACATAAAAGGAACCCACTTTGAGACTAATAATGGTTGGAGACGGCTTGAATGGGTAATGAAGAAAAACTTTAACATCAGGTACCTGATGATGACAAAACTTTGTCGAAACGTTGTACATTTGCTGTTATGTTAAACTTATATTAAAGTTTTTCTTCATTACCCATTCAAGCCATCTCCAACCATTATTAAACATGTACTATGTTCTATACATAAAATAAATTATCATTATACTTGTAAATCATTGTATGTCAATTTGTTATTACATTAAAACAATGTGTCTCAGTACACAAGTACAGATAGTGATAGTGCTGTATTACCCCAATATATATAGTTGTGTACAAATACAGTGATAGTGCTTTATTACACCAACCATATGTATCACATTTTTTTTATATTCTTACATAAGGTTGCTTATTACATTAAATAGAAACTGCTACAAAGCAAAACTTTTACTAAAAGTACTCATATTTTATCTATTCTGGTATGTTCAATGGACCTAGACACAATGATTAACACTGATACTATTGATCACACAACACTATAATCAATATCTCCATCTAAAATCATGGTCTGAAAACTCATAGTTCCAAAACTATTATACCAGCCCAAATTGTACCATGCATAATGATGCGTAATACACTATGCTTAGTCACATATATTTTGTTTAACCTTTTTGCCGTGTATACCGAGTTAACTCGTCCAGCAATAACCTAATACGCAGCATAAACCCCGAGTATACTCATCATCAGGCATTACATTGGCTTACCCACTGTGTACAATGAGTTGACTCATCTTGCCTGCAAAAGACAAGCGCAATGTCATTGACGTACAGAGGGAGGATAACGTAACAGGCTACAATCTCCCGTGTCATTCACAATTTTTAGCTGTCGTAAAATACAACTGCGAGTCGAAAACATGGTCTATCTGCAGACGAAATACAACATATGTTGTTTGATTCTGAGGATAGCACATCAGAATATGATGATGATGGTGAATCTAGTTTTAGCGATTTAGATATGACATATGATGATGAGAGGATGACAGATGAAAGCCAGACAGACAGTTCTATGTCGTTTGCATGGTCTGACGTGGAACGTAATCAGATTATGCATTTACCATTTACAAAGTCACCTGGACTGCCTATAGCAATAACTGACACAAGTGATCTGTTAGAATATTTCAATTTGTTCATTATTGATGGCATGATTAGTATGATTGTTACTGAAACAAACAGACGAGTGTGTCAGCTTATTGAGGGCTCGACCTTGAAGCGCAGATCCAGTTTAAACCAGTGGATTGACGTGACGAGTGATGAAATGAAGGTTTCATTTGCAGTGTTTATTTATCAAGGAATTTTTCAAAAGCCTGAGGTTGAGTTATATTGGTCAACAAAACAGTTGCTTGAGACACCGTGCATCAGGCAGATAATGACTGAAATGCATTTCACCTTGCTCTCGAAATATCTTCATTTCGTTGATAACAGTTCATTGCCAGAGACTACATCAGCCTCAGAGAAATCATTCTGGAAAATCAAAAACTTTTTTGATGCACTTATTGAAAGATTCTCCACTGTTTATGTGCCTGAACAACATGTTGCTACTGATGAATCACTGATGCTGTAGAAGGGGCCACGAAGCAGTACATTCTAATAAAGTGATCTCACTTTGGTTTGAAGTCTTATGAATTGTGTAAATGCATAACAGGCTATATTTGGAAGTCAATTTTTCACATTGGATAAGCAATGCAATTAGAAGAATCAGTGGATGGTCTCATACCATCATGAATTGTGCTGACATTTGCTAAGGACCTCCTTGGTCAAGGCTATTGTACTTTCATGGACAATTGGTATAGTTCCTCGAGCCTGTTCAGAGAAGTAGGTATGAAACAAACTTATGCTGTGGGAACTGTGAGGATAAATCGAAAACACATGCGGTCTGAATTGAAGAAGAAAATTTCTCGTGGTCAAATAACTGCAATGTATACATATGACACGGTGGCTATGAAGTGGCGGATAAAAGAGAGGTCACACTCTTGTCAACGTTGCACAAAAATGAAATGATGCCTGTACAAACATGTCGGGGAAATAAACAAAAACCCACTGCAGTGCTTATGTACAACAACAATATGGGAGCTGTAGACATGATGGATCAGATGCTTGTCGCGTATCCAGCAGAATGGTACAAAAAACAATTTCAACACTTGCTCAACAGTTATATTCTATTCAAAACAGACAACACAGCTGTGCCTTTGGCCAAAAGAATCACTTACAGTTCAGAATAAAGCTGATCGAGAGAATTATTGAAACTTAACATGATCAGGCCACGATTCCTCACGGAGGAAGACCATCGCTGAATGAATCAAATCCTCTGTCATTTCTCAAAGTTTATTCCGCCAAATGAATGCAAATGCACTCCAACATAACAGTGTAATATTTGTTGCTCTCATACTGGACCAGAAAAGAAGAAAATTAGGAAGAAATCAAGATATTTTTGTGAAGAGTGCAGTGTTGCTTTATGTCCAACACCATGTTTTGAAATCTATCATACCAAGAATAACTATTGACATTCAATCTGTGACAATGGCCAAAACTTAGACTATTTTGTCACATGTATGAATGATTTATCATAAATAGCGGTGAAACTAAAGGTTATTGTGAAGTTATCACACAATGTTCTTTATGTACAGTTGACGTCATGCAATAAAAATGTTTTCAAAAAATTTATTACACGACAGCCATAAAATTCTAAAAAACGTTTTCCACGTTATAGGAGTTAATAATGTTACAAATTAAAACAAATTACCAATAAATCATTTTTTTATAATTAATTGGATAAACACAAGTAGAGGTATAAAATAAAAACCTTTCCATGTACATTTGATCTATCTTTCAACTGCAGACTCTTCCAAAATGTTCACTTTCTTTTTTCAACAACTTTTCAGATCTTTCATACACAACTATATCAATGACATACCTATATGCTCCTTCAATGACTGTTTAACTAATGCACTAAAATTTGTAATATGAAAACAGCTTACTTAATGGATACAGCTTATTTTAAAGAGTAATTTGTTAACCCTATCAAAATGGGCGCTTGTATTTTACACAACCTTGTAACCATGGGTATACATATCTCTGAATGTTTGTAATGTGTCTTTGTGGAAGTTGACAAGCTTTTAGTAAACATTAAGTCTTTTGTAGACAAAAAAATCAAGATTCTAACTAAAACTGTGTCCATAATTATATGGAGTCAAAGTGCTGACTGTTCAAAGTGATTTTCATGTTCAGATTAAAAATACTTTTCTTCACCTGAATATTTTCAAATATCTTTTGTGTAATTCCTAAATAAATATCAAATGTGTTTTTTTCAGAAAAACTATATATTTCATCAGGTATTTTCTATAATTTAACTATAAAGGGCCAGTCAATTTGACCAATCTCATAACCACCATAAAAGATTAGGAAATAATTCTAAATTACCCTGCTTTTTTCTGGAATGACGGGAAATTATAACAGGAAACCAGAACTGTTCATCCTATATAGCTTAAAGCTTGTAACAGTATCTATCTATTTATACTTGTTTAAATGTTTTATTGCCTTTTGATCCATATCTAACTAAGAATCCCACCACACAAGTTGTAAATCACTCAGCAAAAAAAAAGGTCACATTGCACCATCAAATTATGTAATGCACGAGCTGTTCACAAGCTTATCTCACGAGGAGTTTTTATTATTTCATTACTTTTCATTATATTGTTACGACAGCGGAAGTCACGTGATGCTTGTAACACGTAATGAGTATCTCGAATGTTCCTGAAGGCTCGAGCGTTTGCAAGACTCGCGCTTTTATAGAAAATAAGCCGGCAATAAAGTGACGGCGAGAATTGTATAGCAGACAGAGAGATAGAGAAAGATAATCGAGTCAAGCCGTAAATAAAGTGTGTAAATCGTTGTGAATTATAGCGTGTGTTTAAGTTAAAGTGACTGTGGAAATTAAGAGTATTGCACAGTTGTATTAAGAAAGAATAAACTAGTTTTATTTAGGAAAGGACTTGTATCACTGAAGTTTTTAGTTTTTCGGAAAGAAATTATACGGGAAATTAACAGATGACCAGAGACGTAACAATATAACCTTATCTAACCATTATTAGTTTTTTATTTTTTCAGTTAAATTTATAATAACAAATAAAAGTAAAGATGAAAAATGTACTTACCTGGATCTTCATATTTTTTACCATCAACTGTCAATAACATTTAACCCTATTTTTTGTATATTAATGGTACTAATACTACACTAAATATTTTTGTATTTAATTACACAATGCACCTAAGAACACAAAATAATAAAATTTAAAAAGCAGACAGCATCCTATAACTATCATAATTTTTCTGGCATTCTAACTATGTGATAACAGCAATTAAAAATTCAGCTAAGCTCATTTCATATGGGAATAATAGACAATTCTCTGTACAGAAACTAGTGTAGTATAATATGTCATTTAATAGATTAAAATACTGGCTTTCAATTGGTTATAAAAAAATATTGTTTTGTTACGTCTCTGGTCGTTCGTTAATTTCCGGTATAAATTCTTCCCAAGGAACTTCAGGATACAAGTCCTTTCTTAAATAAAACTAGTTTATTCTTTCTTAATACAACTTTGCAATACACTTAATTTCAACAGTCACTTTAACTTAAACACATGCTATAATTCACAACGATTCATGCATATTACTTACGACTTGACTCGATTATCTATCTCTCTGTCTGCTATCCAATTATATCTATATGCCATCACTTCATTGGCCAGCATATATATATAAAAAAATAGAGGGCACATAGAGAAGACTAGAGTTACCACGAACAGACATGATCCTTCTAGAATCTCACGACGTCTTACTAGTGTCACGTGACTTCCGCTGTCGTAACAAGTGTTAAATGTCAGAGAGAACTATTGGCAATTTATGAAAGAAGGGATTTGATGGGTTGGCATAGCAAGTGTGTCTGAAATTATATATTATAGCTATGTAACCAAATAAGGTTGAAGGCTATTTTATATATTGTTACGACAGCGGAAGTCACGCAACACTGGAAGCATACGTGCTGGTGTTTCTAGAAGGATCATGACTGTTCCTGGCAACTCTAGTCTTTTCTAGGCACACTCTATTTTAGTACATAAGCCCGGCAAATAAAGCGGAAATATAATTGCACATTGAGAAAGATAATTGAGTCTAGCGAGCAGTAGGAACCACAAGTAAAGTGTGTGAATTGTTGTAAATTATAGCGTGTTTATAAAAGTAGTTAACTTTAAAGTTACTGTGGAAAATCTTTATATTGCAAAGTTGTATCGAGAAAGAATAAACTAGTTTTAATTAAGAAAGAACTTGTATCGCTGAAGTTTCTCTGAGAGAATTTTTATGGAAAATTATCAAACAAGCAGAACGTAACAAATTGGTGTCAAAAGTGGAACGGAAAAAAAAAGAAGATGGAAACGAGAGGTGACAAATCAAACAACAGCTTAGCAGATTTGATGGCAGCAATACAAGAACAGCAACAGAAACAAGAAGAACAAGAAAATAAACAAGAAAAGAAACAAAAATGAGAGATTACAGCGGTTGTTGGAGGAAAAAGAAAAGAAACAAGAAGAACTAGAAAATAAACAAGAAAAGAGAAAACAGCAGTGGCAAGAAAACTTGCAACAGTGGCAGCTCAAACAGCAAAATAAACAAGAGAGACTACAGCAGTGACAACTGGAACAGTGGTAAGAAGTACAAATGGAAAACATTAGTAAATTTCAAAGTGATTTAATTACATTAAAGGATGATTTACTGTCTTCTACAAAAGGAGGATATATTAGCCATGAACCTAATCAGCCTCAGACAACAGGAAGCCCCTTCCAGACCCTGCAGCTAAACCCTATAGCAGACATCTTCAGTCCTGTCAGAAGTCACATTCCAGACACGAGTGTCAGCAATAGGGGTGATCTAGTATGAAGGAAGCCATAGGAATTCAATGGGAAGAATATAGAGCACAATTTGA